TTTTTTTTTTTGTACCTTAGATGAAGGTTTACAGAACAAATAGTTTTTCATTAAACAGTTAGTACACATATTGCCCTATGACAATGGTTAACAACCCCACGACATGTCAACACAGTCCCTTCTCAACATTGGGTTCCCTATCACCAGCTTTCTGTCCCCTCCTGCCTTCTAGTCCTTGTCCCTGGACTGCTGTGCCTCATTAGTCTTGTTTTATTTTATGGGGCACCAAAGCATTTTTAAAATGTCATCTATTATGAGGAATGTTTTGCACTTTAAATGATTCACATAGAGTTTAAAAAAATTTTTTTAAAGAAAAATACTTTGTTTAAAACTTGTCTGATACATTGACAGGTATTTTGCAATATATGTTAAATAGATACCCCTGCAACCGTACTAGCAAATTATACACTATGTATCATTATATAGGGCTGACTATTAATATGATATGTGGTAAATAGAATTCTTCCTTTGTGTGTGTATGTCTATGTAGATATAAGGAGCACTGGTGGTGCAGTGGTTAAGAGCTCAGCTGCTAACCAAAAGGTCAGCAGTTTGAATCCACTAGCTGCCCCTTGGAAACCCTATGGAGCAGTTCTACTCTGTCCTATAGGGTTGCTATGTATAGACTTTTTCTTTTTTTTCAGGAGCTATCCTTATTATGTTTTGGTGTGTAATCTGGTCATTCTCAGGCTCTGAAGTTCTTCCTGGTGGAAGTTTATTTGGACTTTTAATTATTTTTTATTGTGCTATTCTTGGGGGAAAACTTTTGGAAGTCATTAAAATACCTTCAGTGCCTCAACTTCCACCACTTCTTGGTAAGTGTGTAATTACCTCTCCTCTCTTTATTATTGACTATATGTAAATTATAAACATTTTCTAGTAGGACTATATATAATTTAGAAGTATTTCAAGGTAATGTGATCTATATAGCTCCTTTATCTATATATTTACTACTACATATGTATGTATTTAGTGCCTTTATATCTTCCATACACACATGCACCTGTGTGCACACAGATTTCTTTTCCAAAATATATAGTTTAAATAATTTTAATATCCTCATAGTATGATTCTTGTTTTTTGGTTTAATAGAACATTTTTAGCTTAATTTTAAATGTATTATAGAAAAATAAAAATTTGGAAAAGACTGAATTTTTCTGTAGAGAACCTAACTCAAATAGAATTACAAGATTCAAATGTTATAGTGACTAGGACAACAGAAGTTTCTATGGTTTTTGAGTAAGCTTTTTGGCCATCTCCACTATATATTTTCATGTATTATTATCTACATAACAATATTACACCCTATTTCTCCATTTACTATTCATCTATAACTCCCTAGCTGAAGAGGTAAATTAGTGGAAGAACTTATATCACAGGTGTCTTATCTCTTCTAAGTATTCAATACATCCAAGTATTCAGTACACTGTCAGTAGAGATGCCCAGACAATCTCTCCATCTTTTCCCTAACACCCTTTCTATGTCCATAACACTCTTGTGGCACTTCCTAAATTGCCATTGAATTTTTTTCTTCCTCTCCAAAACTTCCACCTTTGCCATAGCTTAGGCTGTTTCCAACTCGTGCATATACTATGGCAGAGCCTTCTAACTCTGTTCAGTTTTTTCCCTGCCTAATTCACCAAGGCCATCACATTTAAAATGCATAATTCTTTACATCACTTCCTTTAAAATCTTTCCATGGTACCCTATTGTGCCAAAGGAGCAAAAAAAAAAAAAGCTGGCCTCTCCAGCTCATTCTGTCCACTCCCATCTATGTAACCTGCCCTTCACCAAAGTAATAAGAGAGATCGTGAGTTTGAAGAGGGACATCATACATTTCTGTTTTCTCTCTTGAAAAAATGAACTGAATCAAATGTGGTTTATTTTCTTTGTTTTAAGGAATGTTACTGGCTGGTTTTATACTCAGGAATATTCCATTCTTGAGTCAGTACATCTACATTAGTAGCACCTGGTCTTCAAATTTAAGAAACACTGCCCTTACCATTATCCTAATACGAGCTGGGCTTGGACTCGATCCAGAGGTAGATTTTCAATTATAACCTGAGTAAAGTTATTTTAAATATTAGAGTCTGACAGAAAAGAAAAAGCAGAATTTTTGTTATATTTGTTCCAAATGAATTCTGTAAGCAAAACTAAAATAAAAAAGAACGATTTTGCAGAAACATTGGCATCTTAATTTCTACTTCTAGTCACCAATATTGCTAACATGAAGAGAAATCACTGTAATATAGGTCTTCATTAGAGATCATCTTTAATTATTTGCTAAGAGATAAAGGGTACTTATGTAACCCCTGTATTATTTGGGAGTTTGTGGCTCTTCTATGGAGAACTGTTTACCTTTCAGTTAGCAAAGAATAAGGTCACCCCATAAAAGATTTTTGCGTTTTTTTTTTAAGAATTTCAAAAATTGTTTTGCTTCATGAATTTTTATCCACAGAATTTTATTCCTGATTATTTTTACATTGTTATAAAAGCTAATCTTTTAAAATATTCTTTCCTTAAATTATTTCTGTCTAGGAACTGTAAGTCAATTAGCATTTTAAAAAGATGACTGTTTATGAACATAAGAGCTACCAAATAAATATGATAAAGGTAGAGGTTTAATGAAAATTTCTTAAGAGCATAAATAATTATGACCAATGATAATTTATTATGTTCTCCTGCAGAAATGTTTTATCAGTGAGAAATTTTTAAAGTTTTCTCTTTTCATTATGTATTGTTTTTAAAGTTATTTTCTTTTTTTGACATTTTGATATTTTCTATTTATGATTTAAGTTAATCAAACAGTTCATCTCTAAAAGTTAACTGATGGAAATAAACTTATAGGATACTATCACTATCCTATTTACTAGGAAGATTAAAGGTAGAAATAATTATTTAGTCACAGATAAGTAGATCTTTTTTAATAATTAAAATACAACAATGTTTTCTAAACGTGAATTGTTTGTAATCCAATCTATGATGACATATAAAATGGGCTGTACTAGAGTTTCAAGTCCAATGGGACAATCTGGCCAATGAGATATTGTTTAGTAAAGGATTATTATTCAAAAAAGATTATATGTTTCAGTATATAATTTTCTTGTGTGTCATGTAAGTTTATCTAAATGTGACTATTTTTACATTTCAGGCTTTGAAGCATTTGAAAACAGTTTGTCTAAGATTGTCTATGGGTCCATGCCTTATAGAGACATGTTCAGCTGCTGTTTTTTCTCACTTGATTATGAAATTTCCCTGGAAATGGGCATTTCTATTAGGGTAACTTTTTTCTCATTTTATCCTATGAAAACATTCAGTTAAGGATGCTTAGTTTAAAATTATTGAAATGTTTAGAATATTGTGTAGACAAGCTCCTCATTAAAATCCTTTTCACAGTAGTGGTAAACCTGAGAAAAGAGTTGATCTAAAACAGAGCTTGTCCCCAATCTGCTGTATCTTGACAAACATGCATAGTCCCTTAATGTATCGTGCCAAGATAATTTGCTTAATCAATTTATTCCTTCTCTTCCATATTGTAATCAATCCTTATTTATTTTTTAATCACTCTAATGGCCCCTTACTCATATTCATATTTGTATGTATATATGTGTGTGTGTGAGAGTTTTATGTAGATATAGATAACATAAATCAAAACTCTCCTATTTTTTTAAAACAAATAAAAACTGTTTCCCTAGACCCAGTGTTCCATCTTTACTTGCCACCCCTTCCCTTAATGACTAAATTACTCAAAATAATAGTCTAAGTCACTGTCTCTAGATATTGAATTCCTTTTCATTCTTCAATCCATTAAACTTTAAGGTCAACTTATCCATCCTAGTGAAACTTATAGCAAAGATCACCCATCACATACTTATTGCCAAATCCAGTGGATTTTGGAAATTAATTTTTATTATAAAAGTATTACCCAAATGTATTTTCCTTTTGAAGTTCTCTTAGACCATGCATTCAAATCCTAACGCCCATACCCTTACCCAGAGTGACAACTCTTACGAGTTTTGTTACCATTTTATGTTATCTAGACCGTTAACAATAACAATCCAGACTTCTAAAATACATACATACATATATGTATATATATGAGTTTATAGAAAAAAAGTATCATTTTGTATATTTTTATATAAATCATATCAAATAATGTTTCACATGCAATTTTCTCTTTTCACTCAGTAGTATGTTTGAGATCTATCCATGTTTAAACATGTAGTTTGTTCCTTTTAATTGTTATATAAAACCAAAAACTAAACTGTTACTATCTAACATAGTTTATAAAGAAAATGTTCTACATTCTGCTTTGGTGAGTAGTGTCTGGGGTCTTAAAAGCTTGTGAACAGCCATCTGAGATATTCTACCGGTTTCACCCAGTCTGGAGCAAGGGAGAATGAAGAAAACCAAAGACACAAGGGAAAGGTTAGTCCAAAGAACTAGTGGACCACAACTACCATAGCCTCTGCCAGAGTGAGTCCAGCACAGCTAGATGGTGCCCGGTTACCACCACTGACTGCCCTGACAGGGTTCACAATAGAGGGTCCCAGACAGAGCTGGAGAAAATTGTAGAACAAAATTCTAACTCACAAAACAAAGAAAAAAAAAACCAGACTTGTTGGTCTGACAGAGACTGGGAAAACATTGAGAGTATGGCCACTAGACACCCTTATAGTATCAGTAATGAAATCACTTCTGAGGTTCACCCTTCAGTCAAAGATTAGACAGGCCTATAAAACAAAACGAGACTAAAGGGGCACACCCACCCAGGGGCAAGGACGAGAAGGTAGGAGGAGATAGGAAAGCTAGTAATGAGGAAACTATGGTCAAGAAGGGGAGAGTGCTGACACATCGCGGGGTTGGCAACCAATGTCACAAAACAATATGTGTATGAATTGTTTAATGAGACACTTGTTTGCTCTGTAAACCTTCATCTAAAGTACAAAAAAAAAAAAATCCAATGCTATCAAGTTGATTCCAACTCATGGCAACCCATGTGTTACAGAGTAGAAGTGCTCCATAGGCTTTTCTTGGCTATAATCTCAATGGAAGCAGATTGCCAGGCCTTTCTTCTGCAGTACTGCTGGGTGGCTTCTAACTGCAACCATTCGGTTAGTAGCCAAGAGCAAACCGAAACCCTGTGGAGCGGTTCTACTCTGTAACGTATGGGATCATTTAGTTACGTTGAATATAGAATTCTGGAGTGATGGGATTTTTTTCTCTTATTACTTTAATAATGTTTTTCATTGTCTTCTAGTTAGCACGTTTTCTGTCAAGAAGGCACTGTGGTTATTATCTTTATTCCTCTGTACGCAATATGTTTTTATTTTCTTGTGGCCTTTAAGATTCTCTCTTTTTTTTTCCTTAAGTATACATATATTTATTGTGCTTTATGTAAAGGTTTACAGAGCAGATTAGTTTCTCATTAAACAATTAATACACATATTGTTTTGTGACACTGATTGCCAACCCTGCGACATGTCAACACTTTCCCTTCTCAACCTCAGGTTCCCCATTTCCATTCATCCAGCTTTCCAGTCTCCTCCTGCCTTCTCGTCCTTGCCCCTGGGCAGTTTGCCCATTTAATCTCAAATACATGGTTGAACTAAGTGTGTTATTGTTTGTTTTATAGGCCTATCTAATCTGTGGCTGAAGGGTGAACCTCAGGAGTGACTTCAGTACTGGGTTAAAAGGGTGTCCAGGGGCCATACTCTCGGGGTTTCTCCAGTCTCTATCAGACCAGTAAGTCTGGTCTTTTTTTTTCAGATTGGCTTTTGTTCTAGATTTTTCTCCTGCTCTGTCCAGGACCCCCTCTATTGTGATCCCCGTCAGAGCAGTCGGTGGTGGTTGCTGGGCACCATCTAGTTGTACTGAACTCAGTCTGGTGGAAGCAGTGGTAGTTGTGGTCCATAGTCCTTTGGACTAATCTTTGCCTTCTATCTTTGATTTTCTTCATTTTCCCTTGCTCCAGACAGGGTGGGACCAGTAGATGTATCTTAGATGGCAGATGCTACTTACCATAGTAGAATGTAAAACATTTTCTTTATAAACTATATTATGCCAATTGAGCTAGAGGTCGCCTGAGACAATGGTCCCCAGCCCTCAGCCCAGTAACTCACTCCCTCAGGATGTTTTGATGGGTCTATGAAGGTTCTATGACTATGCCTTGGTCAAGGTGTGCTGACTTCCCCAGTATTGTGTACTGTCTTAACCCTTCACCAAAGTTACCACTTATCTATTGTCTATTTAGTGTTTTTCCCTCCCCACACCTCCCCTCCCTCATAACTATCAAAGATTGTTTCTTTCTGTGTGTAAACCTTTTCATGAGTTTTTATAACAGTAGTTTCATACAGTATTTGTCCTTTTGTGATTGACTTATTTCACTCAGCATGATGCCCTCCAGATTCATCCATGTTTCACAGATTCATCATTCTTCTTTATTATTGCATAATATTCCATTGTGTGTATGTACCATAGTTTGTTTATCCATTTATCTGTTGATGGACACTTAGGTTGTTTCCATCTTTTTGTTATTGTGAATAATGCTGTATTGAACATGGGTGTGCATAAGTCTATTCACGTGACAGCTCTCATTTCTCTAGGATGTATTCTTAGGAGTGGGATTGCTGGATTATGTGGTATTTCTATTTCTAGCTTTTTAAGGAAGCACCATATCATTTTCCAAAACAGTTGTACCATTTTGCATTCCCACCAGCAGTGCATAAGAGTTCAGTCTCCCCACAGCCTCTCCAACATTTATTATTTTCTGTTTTTTGGATTCGTGCCGGTAATGTCGGGGCGAGATGGTATCTCATTGTAGTTTTGATTTGCATTTCTCTAATGACTAGTGATTGCGAGCATTTCCTCATGTGTCTGTTAGCTACCTGGAATGTCTTCTTTGGTGAAATGCCTGTTCATATCCTTTCCCCCATTTTTTAATTGGATTATTTGTCATTTTGTTGTAGAGGTGTTGAATTTTCCTATAGATTTTAGAGATTAGACCTTTTTGGATATGTTATAGCCAGAAATTTTTTCTTAGTCTGTCAGTTCTCTTTTTACTCTTTTGGTGAAGTCTTTTGCTAAGCATAAGCGTTTAATTTTTTAGAAGATCCCAGTTTATGGTGTTTATGTATTGTTAGCTTATCTTCTGGTATTTGTGTATTGTTAATTATGGTTTGTATCCTATTTATGTCATGTATTAAGGCCTCTAGCGCTGACCCTATTTTTTCTTCCATGATCTTTATAGTTTTTGGTTTCATATTTAGGTCTTTGATCCATTTGGAATTAGTTTTTGTGTATGGTGTGAGGTATGGGTCCTGTTTCATTTTTTTACAGATGAACATCCAGTTTTGCCAGCATCATTTGTTAAAAAGACTGTCTTTTCCCCATTTAACGGATTTTGGGCCTTTGTCAAAGATCAGGTGACCGTAGGCAGATGCATTTACATCTCGGTTCTCAACTCTGTTCCATTGGTCAATGTGTCTATCATTGTACCAGTACCAGATTGTATTGACTACCATAGCTGTATAGTAGTTTCTGAGATCAGATAGTGCAAGACCTCCTACTTTGTTCTACTTCTTCAATAATGCTTTACTTATCCAGGGCCTCTTTTCTTTACATATAAAGTAAATGATTTGTTTTTCCATCTCGTTAAAGAATGCTGTTAGTATTTGGATGGGGAATGCATTGTATTTATAGATTGCTTTGGGTAGAATTGACATTTTCACAATGCTGAGTGTACCTATCCATAAGCATGGTACTTTTCTCCATTTATCTAAGTCTCTTTGGGTTTCTTACAGTAGTGTTTTGTAGTTTTCTTCATATAGGATTTTAGGTCCCTGGTTAGATTTATTCCTAAGTATTTTATCTTTTTCAGGGCTATTATACATGGTATCTCTTTCCTGATTTGCTTTGCATAGTTCTCTTTATTGGTGTATAGGAGTCCAACTGATTTTTTTTAAATGTGATCTCGTATCCTGCTACTCCGCTGAATCTTTCTGTTAGTTCCAATAGTTTTCTTGTGGAGTCCTTCATATTCTCTGTGTATAATATCATATCATCCATGAAAGGGTTAGTTTTACTTCTTCCCTGACAATTTACATGCCCTTTATTTCTTTTTCTTGCCTTATTGCTCTAGCTAGACTTCCAGCACAATGTTAAATAGGAGTAGTGATAAGGCATCTTTGTCTTGTTCCCATTCTCAGGGGGAATGTATTCAGCCTCTCTGCGTTGAGAATGATGTTGGCTGTTGTATAAAACAAGAAGAAAAAACCTGT